AAAATGGTCTAATTTTAAAGCAAGTGGCCAATTTTGTAAATACAATGCCACAAAAGTAGCCACATTTTTTTTCCTTTTTGACTGAGGAATTGGTCTTTGGCCCTTTAACTTGGGATTTTTTCCTTCATATATCATATATGAAAGTTTATTATCAAAAATGTGTATATTTGGTATATTACCCGCCCAGTCCACATTTTACCTACAAAATTTGTACCATTCGACTATTAGGCATTAAAGGAGCAGAATATTCCCTAAAAAACGCGCTAAAATTAAGGAGAGAATCTTGGTGATAATTGATTCTACATTAAATTCAATTTTTAAAAAGGGAAAGGAGATTTCTCATCTGCGTTTTTTTCTCCAGAACTACAATTCAAAAAAAAAAAAAAAAAGAACGAACAGCTCCTAAAAATAAGAACAGATTCAACTACTAAGAGTTTCGACGAGCTGAATTCAAATTGTAGAATTCAAAATTTTCGAGTTTCAACAACTCAAAGTTGAAAAAATCTGTTCTTCGTCGTTGCTTCTATCAAATTATCGATCAGATATATCCCTTCTTCATCTTTTCTTCTTTCAATCTAGGAATCCAAAAAAAACATCAACATCAACAACAAATCATGTCCAAAACCGCAATCATGCTACAATTTAATGGGGACTGGGATAATTATGGCAGATTTAGAGATTTTGAAGTTGATTCCATTGTGGTAGATGAGAATGCAAGCTACAGTATCCTGATTTCTACAATTGCAGAACAAGTATCAATTGATACTACAGAAAAAATTGTAGAAATCAAATACAACGTGAAATCAAATAGTAGATTGTATATAATTTGTAGACAAATTGTAGTTAATTTGTAGATTGTAGATAATTTGTAGATATAATTGTAGATACGTTGTAGATAAATTGTAGATAAACTATTTTATGATTGTAAATATTTTTATTGTTGTTTGTTATGTAATTCTAGGTGAGGGCTTCAATAGATCATATTCATACTGTGATAGATAGTGTGAAGCGGTACATGAATCCTACATTATAACTACTATTAACTACAAAAACTCTACAATTATGTATAAAACCAGTTCTACAATTCAAACAAATTTACCTACAGTTTACCTACAGTGAATGTACAAATTACCTACAGTTTAAGTACCTAATATAAGAATAACTACAATTTACCTACAGTTACAGGGCAAACAGGAAACACATCATCCACAATCATGTCTACATTATATCTACATTTTAGACTACAATTAATCTTGGAATATTCTACATAAACTACAAACTAACTACAATTACACTACAAACAGTAAATCTAGGTGAGGGCTTCAACAGATCATATCCATTATACTAAATCTACAATTACACTACAATTACACTACAATTACACTGCAATTACACTACAAATACACGACAAACAGTAAATCTAGGTGAGGGCTTCAACAGTCAGTATTTCTAAGTCGTTTGGAGAAGTTGTCGACAGCTTTTCATATTAGTCTCTTTACCAATAAATTTCTCATTTTTGACTTTTCCAGAAGAGGGAATTTTGTTTGGTACCCAAAAAAAAACTACTAAAGTGTATATGTTTTCATTGTTTTGCTAGTTCGTGGCGTATTAAAATGTTTGTTGCAACTTTTGATTTCATGTAGACTTTCAGAAAATCAGATCACATGCCACAATTGTTGCAGAGGAAATTGGCACGACATTCAAATATAATGAGATTTCGCTGGCTAATGCATCTCAAGGACATCTTTCGTTGATTGATCTTGCAATCGTGGATGAAGAACAAGAAAGAATGTGGGGTATGGGTAAAAACATGTTTGAGGGGGTGAGGGGTAAGGAGAGAGAAACGTGAGATATATGGATACATTTAATTAAGGAGTAAAAACTGTCCATTAATTAGATATGGATACCTTTAATTAAGGAGTAAAAACAGCCCATTAATTAGACCCTTAATTAAATATGGTATAGGATTGGTAATTTGGTATACTAAATGTAATTTATTCAAACCTTAAACATGTAGGGTAAAAAGGTTTTCTATATGGTATAGGAATGTAAAAAAGATTTACATTACATTATGTCAAACACAAAAACATCTCAGTACCATAAAGGTAGTTTATTGCGCATTCAACGGTCACTTAATCGATCACCGATTGATGATCAATCATGAAGTAGTCAATAATTAGGATCTGTTTGATTCTTGAAATTTAAACTATGCCACGTAAATTAAGACAGAGGGAGTATGATTTTTATTCTACGGATAGTGTTCTCACGTAATTAAATCATGTTCACTTCAAATCTCAATAGATTCTATATCTATTAAAAATGTTCAAAAAAAAAAAAAATACAAATCTAGTTATTCTTAAATCTCACAATTTCTGGAGTCATTGATATGTGATAATCACGATCATCGGTGCTACTCTTCGAGTTGTTATATATTTTTATTATTTATTTAGCTTTTTTAATATATGTTATTCCTTCACCATATGAGGTAATCTGTTGGAAACCTTTTGTTTTATGTTTGTTAAGCTTTACATAAAAATTGTATAGCAGTCACATCATAATGACTAAGTTGCGTATCTCAAATAGCTAACGGAAGTTCGTGTATGTGTGGAAACTCAAAGTTCCCAATAGCACTAAAGTTTTGTGATGATGCATATTACCGCACGTATTAATTATCACTTTTAATACAAATAAATAAAACATTATCTATTTTAAAAAAAATATTGTTAAGGTTTAGAATTCTGTTTTAAAATTCTACTTTGCAAATTACGATAAGCTTTTTTTAGTTTCTCATATATTTTTGCTTCTAATAGAAAACACTTCTAGTTTTAATGAAAGCAAAGAAAAGAATTAAGAAAGAGAGTTCAAAGCAGTTAAAAATTGAAAATAAAATCATTCATCGGTTGATTTATTTTGTATATATAATGAAACTCTGGTTGAAGTTTTATGTAATTTCAAAGTAAAAAGAAAAAAAACGGGGGGGGGTGGGGGGGT